CCACCAGAAATATACGAGAATTTCCCGATAAAATGCTTTGGACATGTTTCATTGATTATACGGTACATATATGAGCTAAGATGAACCTGTCGTCTCAAATGGAGAGGAAGCCATCCCATATTTTTGTATACATTAACCGACCTCTCTCTGATGTTTACATCTAGGGCTATTTTAGCAACCTTTTTGTACATGATATCTAACTCTCCTAGTCGTTTTTTATATGTTCTTGACCAGATGGTGTCTAAGTAGTCAAAATGTGGCAACATAAGTGCATTAGCAAACATCTTCCTGAACTTAAGAGGGAGAAGTTTTTTTGATCTATACATAGCACCAATTCTTTTGGATATCTTTTTCTTAATGTTATCAATATGTTCATTAAATGTCAATCTGCTGTCAACTATAAGTCCAAGGTACTTATGGGATTTAGTTTCACAGATTACCAAAGTAAGGTCATCACAAATTTCAACAAGGATGGCATCAAGGTTAGGCTTAGAGTCAAGGATCATTAGTTTTGTCTTTTCATTATTCAGGGATAGTTTATTAGCCTGAAGCCATCTGATAACTAATTTCAACTCTTGTTTGATGTTACCATAGTTTCCTCTAGATATATTGTCAAAATATAATGCACCGTCATCAGCAAATAGATAAGGTTTAGAAAATAGGCATGCATTAGGCAGGTCATTGATAAAAATGCCGAATAGAATTGGTCCTAATATACTTCCTTGAGGCACTCCAGAGTTCAATGAATGTAAACTGCTTATCCTACTCCCAACTCTAGTTTGCTGTAATCTATCTGTGAGGAAGCTCCTAAACCAGCTCAATGCAGTATCTTTTATTCCATAATGCTTCAGCTTTTGAATGAGAATATCATGGTTAACAGTATCAAATGCCTTTCTGATGTCCAGGAAGATAATTGCAGGATGCTTGGCACTGTTCTTAGCAGTAAATATACGATCAAACAGATCTAACATGAGATAAGTTGTAGAGTGATCTTTACGGAAACCATATTGATGCTCTGAAAGTATTCCCTTTTCATCAAGATATTGAGTCAGTTGGGAGTTCACACAAAATTCGATGCACTTTCCAAGAATCGGTAAAATTGAGATTGGTCGATAATTACTAGGATTCTCAGTATCACCATCCTTATGGATTGGGGTGACTTTTGCAACCTTGCAGCTGTTTGGCATGATGCCACTGGATAAACTCAAATTTACAAGATGTGTTAATGGAGCAATAAATGCAGGTAAAATTTGTCTAAACACTCTCAATGGTATATGATCATTAGTGGATTTGCTACAAGGGATACTTGCCACATAGTCTAAGATATTGGACTCAGTTATTTCAGTAAAGCTATTCAAGCTGGTCTCGTTGTCAATCTGCTCATTTTGTAGATAAGATAGAAATTCATTTTCATTTTCCAGCTGCACTTCTGCTTGGATCTTTGGACCTATTTCAGCAAAATATTTATTGGTGGTTTCAGCATCAAGATTGTTATTGATATTGTTAGCTTTAACAGGCAGATTTGATGCTGTCTTTATCGTTTTCCATACACCCTTTAGATCATTCATGGCACACTTGGCTTTCAGTTCTGTTGCTAAGTTAGTCTTCCTATTAATTCTAGACAAATAGGTTGAATAGTTTCTCTGCCGTTTATATGCCATCCATAATGAGTCACATTTATTACAGTGTATAAGACCATTTGGATGTATACGTCTGTTCTTGTTGTGTGTTAAAAATTTACGGTAAAGTTTCCCTTTCAATTTCTTACTTTCTAAAAATTCTGGAGATGGCTTATGGATGTAATCACTATGGCACTTAATTTGTTTAATTGGACAGAAGTGATCATAGTAGTGATCAATATGTTCGTTTAAACCATCAACTGCATCATTCAGACTAGTTGAATCTATTATTGGTCTATAATCACAGGTTTCCAAAAATTCTTTAAGAGCCGTAACATTCATTTTGCTGTGATCTCTTATTAGTAACTTCTTGAATTTTGAGGCCTTATGCACATTGAAATCGACAATGAACTTTACGACCTGATGATCTCCTATACAATCATCAAGGACTTTGCAGTCAAGAAACTTGGAGTAAGTGTTTGTTATGACAACATCGATTGTGGTCTTTGTGATTCTGTTTCCTAGTTTAGCAATGCGGGTAATATCCTGAACTACCTGTACCATTCCAAACATTTTCATTGTAATGTCTAATTTCTTATAGTTCATACTGCTGATGTTGTTTTGGTCTACATTTACATCACCCAGCCAAATAACATTCTTACTTCCTATACTCATCATGCAGTCTGTCATATAATCTAAAAATTTGTCAAGAGGACTAAACAACTCAGATCTGTAGAAACAGCAGATGAAAATATTGCAATCTGTAAGATGGATCCAAATAGCCTCGATTTGGTCATATTGCAAAACTAAGTTTAGTTGAATCATTTTAAACTTTATGTGCTCACTGATGAGAATGCCACATCCCCCATGACCATTGTCGTTAGGACGGTCTTTGCGGATAAAAGTAAAATTCTTGGGTAGGTTTAGACTGGCTGAGTCAATATCCGACTTAAGATTTGTTTCATTCAGGCATAAAACATCTAATTTCTCTTTCCAGATTAGATCTTGGATTTCAAGACATTTTGGCATACCTGTTAGTCCTCCCTGCATGTTGCAATGTCCCACTGCAAGCTTTTTGGCATGGTATGAAACTGTGATTTTACTAATGCACGGGTTAATGCAAGAACTGCTGTGAGAGCATGAAAATTTTTCCAATTTATGCTGCTATAAACTTGTCAGAATAAGATAAATTGCAGAACTGGCAAATTTGTATGAGATAATAACAAAACTTTCTAAAACTTCAATAAACATGAGGAACAATGTGTAATTATCCCTTATCTAGAATCTAGATGAAATAAATGTTAACAATCTTTCTGAAAATTCAAACTTGCTTATGGGCCCAATACTTCAGAAATTTAGCAAGTCGAATAACACCGCTTGTATTGAGGTGACAGTTATCAGATATTTTTGCAGATGGTCTGGCAAAATAAAATTCTTTCCTGAATCCACTTCTATTATAGTTAAATAAATTATGGGTGCTAATGTAATTAAAACAAGAATCTTTGCTACACATATCCTTAATAACCTTATTCAGCTCTGCCACAACATCATTGCGGCCTTTTGTACTCCTGGGAAGAATATTGAGAACATTAATTGTTGCATTCGGATACACTGACTTGAGATAATTTAAGAGATTACTAATGTCACCCGCTGCATCCTTCAGTGACTTTGAGCCAAAATAGACTGTGTTCACATTATTAGTTCCTGTCATAATATAAATAATAGATGGGGATGGAACGGAGTGTAGGTCAGTTTTTAGTTTATTTAACATTACTTTGGCATCAGCCCCAGGATAAAACAGTTTACTAGCACTAACAGTGGACGATGATAACTTGTCCGCATCAAGAAACCTTAACATAGAGCTGCTTATGAATAGGACAGACTTTTGTGAAGCTTTGGCTGGCTGTTTGCAAACTGAGAGTGCAGGTGAAGAAGAGTCTGTCAGTTTGTGTCCTGAATGAGGGATGGGTGGGGGCGGTGAACGCAGACCAAACTCAGTTGACTGAGTGATCCTAGGGGGCTTCATCAGTCTTAGGGTGATGCTGATCCGGGGTTCATCACACATTTCGTCTGGCAGTATCTCATGTTGAAAGTCAGCCTGAGACAATTTGGACATGATGAAGACATCTCCATGCTGAAGCTGCACAGAGCCCACAACTTCATTGCTGCCGTTTGATCTAATTTGCAGTGTTCTCGTCGCACCAAGTGAAATGGTTACAATATCAGAGTGTTCTACAATACATGATTCAGAATCGCTATGAGCTGGCATGAACTCTGCTCCAGTTTCATATAGATTGACGAGAATACTATTGTGTCTGAAATTGGGTAATATCACATTAATGTAGGAGCTGAGTTTAGCAAGGTAGGAATCATTGTGTACACTTTTTGGGTCATGTGTTGCACCTGAATACTCATAGGGAAAGTCACCAAAATAAACCGATTTCCTGTTTTTAAAGCCGTGACTGAACTCAAGTTCTTCCATTAATAGATCAAGTGAAAATTTAGAGAATGGACCATCATCTAGTAGGGTAACTGGTTTCACTGGTGATGGGGAACAAGTTACAGATATATTCATTGGCCCCGGTGTTATAGGATCGTAGACAGGGGCAGGGACCAAGTTTGGATATTTGTCTCTGGGCTTAGGGGTGTTGATCCGTGATTCACCAGTAGCAGTAGATACAGGGAGATCAGACACATCATCCTCGTCTGCCATAACCTCGTTAACAACAATCTCACTGATAACAATCTCGTTTCCAACAACCTCCTGTGGAACAACCTTGTCCACGACATCGTTGTCAACAAACAAACTGTCCGATACAACATCTTCCACAACAATGTCATCTACATCAAACGCTTCTACTTGATTGATAACAACGTGTGACTGAGGGGTAATGGTTATGATCTCACATTCAATCTCCTCTGATAAGTTCGGCAGCAAATTTTCACACTTAAAACTCTGTTCTTGTATTTGAGTTTGATCTGATATGAGACTATCATTGTACTGAGCAATGAGATCACTAGTTCTGATAATTTCATTCAATAAAGACAACTTTTTTTCTAAAAAGTCAATCTTGATGTCTTTTGACAGACAATTGTTACAGTTCTCTGATTTTTCAGACTGGAATGAAAAGTTCAAATGTTCTAAAGGGCGCTCACAAAAGTGGAGACTAATGTCTGAGCTCTGATTATTTGACATAGTTATATTATCAAGAGTTCAATGTTCAGAAGCACAATAAACACTGTAAACACAATACCTTCAGTCCAGATAGTAGTTTTGATGAGAATAGTTTTGATGAGAAGGAGGAGGATGAGTAATCTTCAAGTACACTCACAGCAGTCCTTTGCACGTCAACACTTACGCTCGTCTATCATATCTCATACCTCAATAAATGTAATAGATTTGTAGTGTTGTAATTAGTTTTAAAATCAAGTACCTCTGGGCTGCCGATACAGTCTGGCCAGATTAGCTCATCAGTCTTATGAGTCTCAGAAATTTGTTTTTGTTGGTTACAATTCTGTCCGTCCAATTTCCTATCTGCTTGTCCTTTTCTTTTTTCTTTATCAGTTCTGACGGAATTGTAATGAACAAAATCCTTATAATTATTTATGATATGTTTGATTTCTTGTTAATGTTTGTCATTCAAATTTGGTAGACGGCCCCAACGTTAATGTGGCTCTTGCTATGTGTTGGTTCAGCCGAATTAATTATTATATAATCAAGTTTATTTTTCTCGTTAGTTGTCATCCGGCCAAACATTAAGCAACTTATATTGCAGTACCATTTATCATTTAGTAATCAAAATATGTCATTGTAATTTTGCATGGCTGAAATGTAACGCTTGATTCATATATATAATGATTAATTGAATTTTCAAATAAAAATGCCAAAAAACATTAACTCTAATTTGAGACCTATCTGACATTCCGACAAGTTTGATTTTTAATTTATATTTGCCACCTACTTTAAATAAAACGCTTCTTTTTTAGTAGTTGTCCATATTTTATATATAATTTCAATTTTCTTTTTAATTTAAAATGTTTTCAAGTAAAATTGAAAATGTAATTTCCACAATTAGCTCATTTGATAATTTCAAATAATAATTTTAATTATTATACATATTAACTAATTCATAATTCAAGCTCGCTGAACCAATGAAACAAGAAATTTTTCAATGAAACAAGAAATTTAATTTTTAGCACATTTTACAGAGTAAAGAGATGTAAAACAATTTATAAAAATATAATGCTCATTTGGTGTATGACTTTTTGTCCTTGACTGTTAGTTTGATTTTGAAGGGACAGGCAACTAACGGGGCAGGGAATGTGCTTGCCTGAAAGCTTTTGCACACACCAAAACGCTAGTTCAGTTGAGTTTTTAGAGACAGGGCTCATATGAGGATCAGAAGAAAATTGTTAGCAGACGTTAGGGGTTCTGTTTGTGTTTGTTACTATGGGTTACAGTCTTGTAGTGACAGAAAGTCTACACTATATATATGCCTAAGTTTAAATTGTGTAGTTTGAGGATATAAGATGCAACTTTAAGATGGATATTGGAGAGCTGTTGAAAAATTATGTTCGTTGTATCAATGGTTATAATAAGCTAATATAAATATCTTAAACTATACAGTGCTAATTAAAAATTTCTTTATACTGCATTATCAAATTAAATGTTAAAAATTCAAAAATATACATTCATTTTATTTTATTAAAGACTTTCTCACACATACTTTTCTCACAGAACAAGACTTGGAAAACACTAGACTAGGGGAATTTCGCTGACATGTGTGTGACCAGCAAGTAGTGATCTTTCGAAGACAATATTGTTGCAGTCAAAATCTTTGATTGTCCAATCAAGCGGGGCGTGGCTGTGTTGATTATTTAATAGTGCACGTTTAAGCTTTCCCCGCAAACACATCACACTCATGGTAAAGTCATCCATTCTAATTTTTGGAGTAATCATGTTAAAAATTTTGGTTGATCTTGTATTATGGTTATCAGGTGGGTCAGCCTGACAAATAAGTAGGGTCGGCTTCCTTGTCGAGCATGTGTAGCCTTCATGTAAGGATATTGGAGCACGAAATTTCATTATCTTGTAGAGCTCGAGGTAACAGTGGTATGTATAGAGATTTTGGATAGCTAGGATATTATTATGTTTGAATAGCGGTTTAGTATGTTCTTTTATGAAAAACTTGTTGTTAAGTCTTTGGTGCCCTATTGGTCTGGTACGTGCACAGGTCTTAAACTTATCAAGGTAAGCCTCCCTATCACCGAACATAACCCTAAGACAGTACTTCTGGGCGGTAAACAGAGAGCTTATACGATGCTTCGCTGCCCCACCCCAGACAGATATACAGTAAGAGAGATGGGATTCAAACAAAGTATAGTATAGTTGTTGATGTAGAAATTCTGGAAGGGAGCAGCGAAGTCGACATAAGGTGGAAGTGGAATGATTTAGATTTCGCTTAAGGGCTTTAATGTGTTCTTCCCATGAAAGGTTTTCATCAATTATAACTCCAAGGAATTTAGTGGATGAAACTTTTTTTATCGGAAAGTTGTCTATAGTAAGTCCTACTTCATCATCTGATAGAGTCTCTGACTTAGAACCTTTCATGGGAGGCTTGAAGTGTATGTAGCAGCACTTGGACATATTTATATGTAACTTATTTGCTCGCATGTAAGACTGCAATGATGAAAGAAGCTTATTTCCACGTTCATAGGCCTCACGTTTTGTTTTTCCTACAACAAATATATTGGTATCATCAGCAAATGTAACAAATGATCCTAGTTTAGAACTGTTTGAGATGTCGTTCATGTAGAGGAGAAATAGGAGAGGTCCAAGTATTGAACCCTGCGGGACACCAAATTGAATAGATAGGGTGTCTGATTTTTCTCCCACAACTTCGGTGTATTGTAGTCTATTTGTTAAGTAGCTTTTTATAAGGTTATTTGCTACTCCTCTAATTCCACAGCCCTCTAATTTTATAAGTAGTGTTGAATGGTCGATAGTGTCAAAAGCTTTGCTTAAGTCAATGAATATTCCTAGAACATGATTCTTGAGTTTAAGAGATTTTGTAATTAAATCTACAGAGTAATTGACTGCATGAGATGTAGAATGGGATTGCCTAAATCCAAACTGTGTCTCCGATATGGCTCCTTGAGAGCTAACAAATCCGTATATTCTTGAGTAAATGAGCTTTTCGAAGATTTTACCGAAGACAGACAGTGTGGATATAGGACGGTAGTTCTCAATTTCTTCAGGGTTACCTTTCTTATATACAGGTGTTATCTTACCAGTTTTCAGGACATCTGGAAATATACCTTCGGCCATAAGGATATTGATGTAATTTGATAAGACCGGTGCAATTATATGAGATGACTTTTTTATTACACTTATTGGAATGTCACTAGCTTTGCCGTTTTCAAACTGATTTATAATTTTCAATATTTCGGTCGGGGAGCAATCTTCTAGCAATTTTAATTTTAATTATTAGATTATGCGGATGCACATTTTAATTTTGGTCATAGATTGTTTGGAAAATATAAATAAATGATAAATATATTACAACAAACCAAAATAACTGAAATGTTACTAAACGAAATTCCGGATCAATATAATAAGCGCGAGCGCCGCGCGCAAAACTATATTGTGTACCATACTGGTTTAGCCTGCTAATATAATACTATACAGTTCACGTTGTATTGCAATTGCATACCTTTTACGAAATTTTAGAAGGGGGCCGCCACGAAATAAATTGTTGTTAATACCAATTAAGTTAATAAGTTATATTGCATTGTATGTTGATTCACAATGCCATGAATCCTTCGCAGCTCGGTGAGGCACAGTGGTGCATTTCGCCGATCTACCGCGAAGGTGGTTGCGTGAAGAATTATTTGATACGCAGCGCGACCCAGTAGTGCATCGCGCTACAACATTGTATGTTATAAATTATAAAACAACAGCTTACTTTTATTTATTAAACTCAATCATTAATGAATTAAATTTATAGTTTGTAAATTATTTTTATAATCATATTGGCATGGCATGTTTTAATATTCAAAATTAGTCCAAATACCAAATTAAATTATTTATAATTCATCACTCTGGCAAATCACTGACCGGTAATTATTGTAATTATTGTAATTATTGTAATTATTGTAATTATTGTAATTATTGTAATTATTGTAATTATTGTAATTATTGTAATTATTGTAATTATTGTAATTATTGTAATTATTGTAATTATTGTAATTATTGTAATTATTGTAATTATTGTAATTATTGTAATTATTGTAATTATTGTAATTATTGTAATTATTGTAATTATTGTAATTATTGTAATTATTGTAATTATTGTAATTATTGTAATTATTGTAATTATTGTAATTATTGTAATTATTGTAATTATTGTAATTATTGTAATTATTGTAATTATTGTAATTATTGTAATTATTGTAATTATTGTAATTATTGTAATTATTGTAATTATTGTAATTATTGTAATTATTGTAATTATTGTAATTATTGTAATTATTGTAATTATTGTAATTATTGTATTGTTAAATAATTATATTTTACGGAGCTGCTTAATTTACTAGTTGATAAATTGCTTTGACCATTGTTACTGGTCTGGACCGGCGCGCGCTACTTCGATCGAAGAGAGAAGAAAGCGCGAGCGGCGTGCGCTACTTCGAAGAAATTTAGGCGAGTAACATTCGTCAATACTTTACTCTAACCAGAGACCTCGAGCACTTGCAGTAGCGCTGAGCGCATGCCCGCTTTGGCTATGTGAAGTCGATACTCATAAATATTTGTTCCAAATACAAAATATTGACGAGACCATCAACAAAACTATTGACGAGTTCAATTCGGCGCGCGTCTAGGTAGATTATATGTTATGAACGTAAAATGATAACTCTGGAAATGTATCAGTAAAATCGAGCGCTACGCCCTACTGCAGAATTTCTTTTTCATACTTTATTATTTGCTCTAACCAGAGCCCTCTCGCTTGTGCAGTAGCTATGCAGTACGCGTAGACACATGGCTATGTGAACTTTATTATGGTTACTACTCTTTATGATTGTCGGGTCGTGTCCAAAATATTTGTGTCTGTTTAGTGAGTGTTTTGGTCTTACTTTTGTCAAAGTAACTTGTTAATGTTACGACTATAGGTTTAGAACGTTTGACTATATAATAATAACTTGCTACTTTTGACACAATTGAGTAATAGTCCAGATTCTGTTTATGCTACCTCTTATTGTACATTACATTCATCTCCAGCAGACTCTAGCCATTATTGAGTTTAGTTAGCTTACTCGTTTCTAGTTAGAAGCACAGAGTTAAAGCAGCATAGAGAAGTCACACTTGTATAGATAACAAGTAGATCAAGTCACATTTTTGTACTTGTTTCTGACAGCAGACTTCATCTAATTTTTTCCATTAGTTGCACCGTTTGTTTGACTTCAGCTATTTAATGTCCACTGTATCCTTAGTATTACACTTCTTCAGATCTGGATTGTGTAGCTTAAATAAATTGTAAAATTACTCGTTAACTTTGTTTGCCCTGTTTGACGACGTCAATCATTCGCAGCTCGGCTTGGTCCAGTGGTGCATCTCGCTGATCTAATGAAGTGGTTGCAAGATGCATTACTGGATGCGAGGCGTTGCCCAGCAGTGCATCGCGCAACAATTGTTACCTCCAAAACACTATACCACCATAATAAAGCCTATAAAGTTAAATTATCAACAGTTCTGTTGAAATCAATTTAGCTGACTTAATGTTAGTGGGAAAGGTTTTTTTTTTAAAGTTGGAAATTATTTGTATCATTTGACTTAAGAATAAGAAGATGTGTTTCACACTTTTTTTGCCCTCGGCTTCAAGACAAAGGGGAGCTACTTACTAAACCCTCAATCATGGTTTCCAGATGACTTGGATTAGTCAACCAAGGAGAATTTACAGGATTTGAACCACTTTAGGACCTACGTCTCATTACAGTATAGTTTTTTGTGTTGTTTTGTGCATCTAGTGTGAGGTGTGAATCTATCCCAGAATGAAAATGCTTTCACGTTTAAATTCACTATTATTTATAATAAACAAGGTTTTACAACGCAGCAATAGCAGCAAATCTGGGGAAACTTTGAAATACACCACTTTGAAGCATTTGACTACCCCTTAAAAATCACAAATCATGAATTCTAGTTATCTGAATATTTACATAGGTCCAAAAATGTCATAGCTTCATGATAGTGCAACGAAATAAATCCCAGAACATTTTGGTGCTGAGTTAGGTGGTTAAGTAGTCGAAATATGACTGATTTGTTAGTGGACATTTTTTTGTACTTCTAACACTCAAACCCTTACTACACTGAAGATATGAGTGTTACAGTTAAAATTGATGGTCATTATTGAACAAAAACGGTTCATTGACACATAGTTGAAGAAAGAAATTAAAAAGGTTAATGGTCTGTGGAGTGGTTTATATGTGTTTATGTTACAGTGTACGCGTGCGCACGCGCGCGCGTACTTAACCATCTGTAGGCCAACATATTTAGTTTATGCTTAATTTATTTATATATTATGTCACCACTAGAGTGCCCAATACTTTTAGTGAAGGTCTAATGTAAAACGGTTAACCACCAACTGTGGTATATCAAATAAACCCCAAAAGTGTACGCGTGCGCGCGCGCGCGTACTTAACCACCTGGAATTGCACAGCATTGAGTTATCACCATAATTCCAAAAGCAGAAGACACCATCCAGGTGCCCAAAACTTTTGGCTATGGTCCCAATACCACAAAACCTTACATGTGGCCATAATGTGGTTAAAACATGTTGATTTTGGACCTTCGGTCAACAGAAGCCATCACAAATTAACCATTGTTCAGCAACATCTGACCTTTTGGTGTCTTATTTTGTTTTGATATTTGATTATGAGAGATAGCTGAAGGATAATAAGTGATATTAAAGATAATGCAACAAAATGTGTGGCCGTATGGCGGTTAAAACGACCAAAAACACTGATTTTGGTCAATTTTAGACCTTTATTAACCATGATGGACGCAACACAGGACTCAGCAATGTTTCTGGTCATATAAATGAGCAGGAAGTTATATCTAGATAATGTAGCATGGCCAGCTATAGCTTTACAAAGCTAATATGTGCTCTAAAAATGGTTAATTAGTGCAAATATAGGGTATTTTCGAGACATTTTAACCACCTTAGCTGCACATTGATCGGAATGCATGAACTTGGGGTCAATTATGCATTTGCAAACAAATATACACTCATTTGGATAGCAAACCATTATCTGAAGTTCATATTGTGGTTAATTTTCACTTTAATAGATGCCTTGTTCAACAGCCTAGCAAGTAATATAGCCCTTTTAACCACTTTTATGACAACATTTCTTGATAAATTTTATCAAGACCCTTCAAATGTCCTTTGTTGACCATAAAATGTTGACTAAAATCATTAATAATGTTTTGATTGGTGGTTAACAATAAATTTTGACATTTTAACCATCTTTTTAGCACTTTTCACGAATATTAACCACCTCAAATCAACCATACTATTAAATTGCACATTTGTGATAAAAATTTATCATCCATGCACAAATGAACAACCAACACTATACATCTATAATCAGAGCAATATTTATAGCTCACCGTTCATCTTCAATTTAACCACCATTAGGACCACAAAATGCCCCCAATGAGGTTTGAAAACTTTTGTGATAGTTGCACCATGATATGATCTCAATATAATGACTACTCAGTTCATAATATCATATCTCAAAATGGTGGTTAACCCTAAAACTGGTATTTTAACCACCATAGTGGCCACATAGATGACCCATTAACCACAATTATTCAACATGACCGTACTGCAGTGTTTTGTGCACCAGAAAAACATCACTCCAACATTGAGATTAACCACAATGAGCTGCAACATAATGTTGAAGTCAACATACTCAAATTGTGTGAAAAAAAGTCAATGTCCACCAAGTTTCCCCAGATTTGCTGCTATTGCTGCTCGTAGTACTTTTAAGTTTATACACTGTTTGTTCGTTTTTACTCATTTTCAAATTTAAAAATCTAATAATGACATTGCCAGCGTCAATGAAATGTGACTTGGTTGTCTCAAATGTGTTCCGTGTATCCTAATTCCGGAAAAGCTAACATCTACAGAAAGCTTGTTGCAGCAAAAATCCCCAGAACATCAATTAAGAGTGAGTAGCACTACAAGATGGTTTAATTTTAGATTGGTTTAAAATCGTAGTTTGGAATTAATTAATCGCCTGACAGGAAAATGGATGCTAATACATTCAGAAGTATTAGTTCAGCAAACAAGGAAAACAGTTGATTATTCATGCTTATTGGCCTTTGCTGAATTTTACTCTTCCCCTCATGATGTAATTTTCAGGATCGCCTTCAACATATAATTGTAATATCCCCGCTCCGCGTCTAGCATGGTGTTCCTCAAATAACACCAACACTACAGTCAGATCCAACAACCAACACACTTCTCACAATCATAATAATACTGTCAGAGGGGAGCCTATCAAAGAGGTTTGATTATTACAGATTGTGAACTTAATTTATACTAATAGCTACTCAGCCATGACATGGAGAAAATATTTAAATTTTTAATGGCTATTTTTGTTTACAATTACATTCAAATTTGCATACACGTATGATATATTATGTAAAATGTTGTTATAACCTGCCATCTTTTTAGGGGCGTAATCTCCAGGTGCATGTGCATCGTAATAACAATAATTCTAACATTGGACTTGAAATAAAGACAAAGAGTTACGACCAGACCAAGATATGCCCTGGTGAGTTCAGTTGCCAGTTAGTAGTTCTGTAAAATTATCCGATTATATAGCCTTATGATTATGGTGATATCAGATAAAATTTGCACCAGAGATCACTGATAATAAAATACCTATTTCTCATTTAAGATGTAACTTGTTAATTTCCCAAGTTGTTACCAAGATAGGGTAACTCAATTGAAATGGAAAATACGATTTTTTGCAGAACTTTCAAATGCTGTGGTATCTCGCTAAGCAAGTCCTCATATTTCTTCAATTGGTGTTATACTTATGAAATACATTATCAGGTTTAAAGATAGTGGCTCCAGAGTGCAGAAAACCAGAAACCAGTTGGAAAAGATCGCCCCAATCTGAATATTCTAATGCTGAGGTAACATTTCATCCCTAAATTATTATTACAATAATTAATTAATTAATATAACCAAATCAATTAATATAACATAACACTTCCTTAACTTTTGAATTTAGATCTAATGAATTTTATCAGTCACTTATTTAAATCATGTCATGGTCACACAATTATAGAATATCCGTCAGAGCCCTAAATAAATATGTTTCAATTTAATGTCAGTACAACAATTGGTGTCAATTATCTGCTTGCCCCACCTACGCAGCCCTCTTCCAATAACCAATCAGGGAGCAACATATAATTTTACTGATGAGGCAATCGATTTGAAATTAAGATGGGACTTGCTGGCGACCTTAATTTGAGTGTTGACTGAATAATAATGACACACCGTCATCAATGCGTCAAGCAAACAGTCGATTGTCGTGCATCTTGAAGATTAACAGGTCGGCAGGACTCAGAAAGTCGCTTGTTGCTTGACATAAATTAGAGTTCTTCCATTTCATCTGCAGCAGCATAGCACAATGGTTTAGATGTTGTCTAACCAAACTTTAACCGCATTTTGACCAAATATCACCACAATTGAACAACGTTAATGCCATTTGTAAAGCCGAATAGAAGCAACATGAGATGTTACTTAAGAGTATAGAAAATCTGATGTTTTTAACGGAAAAAGTAAAGATATGAAAATGAGTTGTTTTGTTCTGTGGGCACTCAAAACACCAATTAAATGTTAAATTAATGTTAAATTAAATATTAAATTAAATGTTAAACGGTATTAAATGGTCATTTCATTGTATTTAACACTTGCTGTATTTAACACTTGCAATGTGGGCTGGAATTCAATATTTTGATACTGAATGGTTTATTTATTGGCACATAACAATGTCCATTATTCTTGGGACTGAATAGCTTTTTAAAAATTTAGCTGTGGAATAACTCGAGTTACCGATTCTCTAAGTCTGAAAAGGAAAACATTTTTAATGTTTTGTCTTAAAGTGACAACCGCCGGTGTGACATGTCTATCACGCACTTTGCAAGTTAAACTCTTCTTTTTGTAAAATTTAAAGAACTTGTCATGCATTTATAAAACAACACGCTGGCTTTGATAGACAATGTTATAATTTAGATTTTAAAACTGCATATTGACTTTGAAATACCCCCTGGGGTGCTGGGGTACTTAAGTGAAGTTATCGAATATTGCACTCGATAACCAACTCTTTACCACAATAGCCAACTTTGCCACCTGCACCAGCGACTAATATGATGAATTAGACCAAGCTGGAGTTACTCGTTTTGTTCACTCTCTAATATCTCCGTACCCTCTTTTTGCCACTTCTCAGAGATTAAAAAAGTAAATTAATTTTGTTGGCCACCCTTGCTGAGCCTGAAGCAAAATATCCCCTGAAAAAATGGGGGACATTTTAACAGCGTTCCTGAGTTTCTTTAAGTCAAATAATAAGCTTTCGTATGGTTTACAGTATTTAACAATATGTAAAACTAACGTGCGATTAAGCGGCAAGCAAACATACCCAACATTCACCTTGACGCCTACAACCAGTGAGCCATCTTCACGTTCTATTGGCTTAAATGGGGAGGTGAGACATATATGTTCATTGTTCAGACGCAACAACTTCCAGCAGCGACCAATAAAATCAACGAATATATATGTGTCAAAACAAATTCACTATTGGCGACGCTACTTATCACAAAATAAAATGTCCTTATAAACCTGTTGGTTTTACTTTAAATCGTTCAAATTCCTGAGCAGGTGTACGATGATGATATGATCAGCGTCTGGTCCTCCTTCGACCTCAAATCTTACGATCTGGATTGCAGAGGAAACAACACACGTGCAAAGAGTGCACCCCCGCGCAGACTCTCGTATCACTGCGGTAACGCAACTCTGCTCTACTCAGAATCCAGGGTAAATCTTACAATGAATTTTGTTTTTATGTAGTGCCCATACAATTTCTAGATTATTTGGCAACGCATAGGTCGTTACGCCGCTGATGGACTTCAATAATAAACTTTATGTTTTGTGATATTATCTGCCGTTTTTGAGTATATTTAAAAGCTCTTCTTTCACGAGATATCGTAACATAGCAACCACTCATCACTTCTAGTAAGCTGAATTCAAAGACCCAAGCTGTCTTGCTATGATTTGATTTTGTGACCTCTCTTTTAATGCTCATTGCTTGCAACAACCACTCTTTTTTTTGAAGCAAAAGTAATTAAAGTTGGATTGTAATATCTTACAACGATAACACGAAACTTAGAATATGTATAACGTAATGATGGTGAGCGACAGTACTTTGCCATGAAACTTGAGGAATGTTATGCAGGAGTGAGGAGGCCCTGTCCAGGCACAGCGTCACGGTCTCAATTCAAGTCACGTGACAATAAAATACACTAGCCATGTAAAGGAGGAGTAGAACTAAACTAAACTTTGTCATGCTTGTTGTTTTATGATATAATTTGAACGCTCAGCCCGCTTTAGTAGGAGAGTTTAGGAGCACAATGATGTCATTTTTTCAAACTCTTTACTTTTGTTTCATTACTTTATAAATACAAATCGGAGAAATAAGTCCTGCAACTATTGAAAATAATATCCGTAAAATATGTTTTTAGATGTGGTAATTCTAGTTCTGCTACAATTATTAGTCTACCTTATATTATTTCTTATGCGGACAATTTAAGTGTACTCATCAATAGAAAGTCAGAGTTAGTTAAAATTGGCAGAATTTCTATTTTAAAGACCTATTTCAAAAAATTTCTCAATCATCTTTAGTTTGTGCATGCCAAATTTTCGAACAGTCTCTCAAAAGCTGTGGGAGGAGATGTAATTTTAAAAACAAGCCTTAGACCCGGAAAATAACACGTTCTAACGATAATAAAAAACAAAAATAAACGTTTATTTTTGTCTTATTTAACGATTAACAAACAAGTTTGTTAATTGTTAAATGAGACATCTAGCAAGTGCTCGCCACTTGTTCCTTATATTTGTCAACATCTTTAAAATATTCGTTCTGGAATTGATATAATAAATGAGTTTAATAAATCGTTGACGTACAAATAAATTCAAATTATACGTACAGATACGTGCAAATACATACAAATACGTCGACGTACAAACAATAGAAATTTATAACAGAAAAACTTCCCTCCTGTGAACCTGTAAAAGTTAAGAACAGTACAGGTTTAATGAGGACAAAGGTATAGTTAATAATCACAAGACACGTCCAATTATTCCCGCATTCCTTTATAAACTTCATACTTTTAAATTGTCATCATTCAATACACGGTGATGTCTATTGTCTATATGATGAACATTCTCATGCGAAACCAATAAATAACACTATGATATTTTCACAGGGTAGTTCTCAGTGCTCAAAAAGAGACAGAAGTCACGATAAATTGAAACAAGTCCTAGCAGAAACAACTCCAAAACTCGTCAAAAGTGTCCACCTGGATTATGATCTATACTTACAGGTAATGGGTATAAAATGTGTTTCATAATTTGGCGTTTTATAAATTTGATAAAATTGAGGGAGACGCTCAATGGAGCTTCGAGTGAGCGAGTGTTCCTCCTCCTCCTCCTCCTCCTCCAGATCCTGACACACAAACAGTCCCTGAACTGGGGTCTGACCAGTTTTCCCTAACTCACGGTAAGGTCCACCCAGGGTGTCAGAATGCAGGGGATCTATCATCTATGCTGGCGTCCTGTTTAGGGGCCAACATGGGACGTAGTACTGTAGAAAACTCGTTGATGTAAAGTTCACGATTTTGTTGAGGTTGTTCTTGGTAGCGTCCCCAAGTTTCCGTATTTCGTTAGCAAAATCCCCTTTTGAACCTATTTTCACGAGGCCTGCAGTCACCGATCCATTAAGGTGGTTACTTGGTAAAGTTTTATCTGAGTTAAGTAAGTGCTCTTATCCTGTGTGATATACCCCTCGGTGGCCGATACAGACCCTACTAGGACGAACAACGCAAATAAAGCAAAACCAGACATTAATACGGTTACTAATACACTTTAACAAACTTTTAGAAACGAAACATAGCAATGCTGAGCTAAATGGCAAATGAAGGCTGCACTGGCCACTATACTTCATCTGTGTTGCTGTGGGAACTAAACTTTGGCCTGCTCCTTTATAAATATTGACAACGTTTAGTAGTCATTTTCGCAAGATTATTTTACCATTTTCAGTATCTGTTTGACGGCTACGATAAGCTATATTATTTGGGGTTAAAAAGAAGAGTTTGTAACTTTCAAGGTTAAAACTTAACAGCTCGTATTAATAAGGCGGTGAATAAATAATTATAATATGAAGCTTGTAAGATAACGATTGTTTCCTCTTAGACAAATGCCTCTTACTGATTGACGATTGTTCGGCAGCCAACTGTTCGTTTGAGTATTCTGCTTTTAAAAGAAGCATAACACGTAAGGCTTTACAGTTTACTTGTGTCGGCTTGAGTCTAGCTGGAGGAAATACTGTTCTGGAAGCCCAAGGGTCTACATTTAATGTAGCGCGTTGATTAGATTTTGAGCTGAATGTCCCGCGATTCAACATGGTTTACGTACATGCCGCGCGCTTCTGCAGCTAGACTGCTAGATCGATCGACTGCGATGCATGCTGGTTGTATTATTTATCATATTCTTCACATTATTCATGAGCAGAACTCTGCTGGACTGATCTAATTGTGTTAAATCACTAACTTTTTGAACTTTAAATGACACCCTCACCCTCCAGACACACCAAACTGACACTCGGCCACAAGCATGCCAAAATCATCAAAAACCTCAACACTACACTCAGCAAAAACAGACAAGATTACAGAACTGCAGTTCACCTCATCACGGGTCACTGCGGCTTAAACAAACACCTTCACACCATTTGCAAATCAAACACCAGTGCTTGTCCTATGTGCGGCGACGGAGAGGAAACTGTCTCACACTTCCTTGGACAGTGTCCAGCTATTGCCCAAATTAGAGGTCAATATTTCCAGGACTACTACCTCTCTGTCAATGACATATTCGACAACCAACACATCACCACAATTGTCAATTTCGCAAACCGCACCAAACGCTTAATTGTGCCGGAAGAGCTGGATCAGACCGGGGTGACTTAAAGTATTATCTCATATGCTGTCTCGTCTCGTTCTACTTTTCCAAACCCAGCTGGCATTTAAGCGTATCATTTTGACTCATATATCATCTTACACCATCCTCCACCAATCACTCTGATTTCACCGGCAACCTTCCCCAAGGTTGCCACACCCCAGAGGTAGGCAGAGCATCTCAATGCTATCCTCTCGTGGGCTATCTTGGCCCAGCCTCTCTTAAAAAAAAAAAAAAAAAAAACCCTCACCTGACTCCGGGAAGGTGTTTTAACCTCCGTCGTTTCAGTTTTGGGCAGGGTTTTCTAATTTGTAATTCCTCAATGAAATTGTTGACTGTGCGAAAGAAGGTTGAAGGAGATAGAAGGGGGTCAAAATTGTGACCCAATTTTGAGTGGCTCCTTCTGAAAACTTAAAAGTTTATCATATAAATTGGTAAAATCGAATAAGTTTTATTTTATTTTACTTATCGAAGTTGATAAGCAATAACACGGTGAACTCCCCAGGCGCTGAAATTGGAAAAGTGTGTTCCAGTGGGAGTTTCCGACAAGAGGATAAGAAAAGACATCGCCACGATTTTCAAGAAACACAACGCTTCAAAATTCCCGAAATGAGACCGATAGATTTTACTCCTGCAAACTAAGAGTTTGACGGCACCATTAAGATTTATATCCCGAGGTCTGGCTGATGAAGTAATCCGCCGACTCGTCTAGTTTTTCGAACTGATGCAACATCGATTACATTGTTTAGGGTCGTTCACGTATTAGGTAATTAATTTAATAATCCTCCTCCCTCTCTGTGTTGAAATTACATTAGCGGTATCATTTAGAAATCCCCCTCGGTGATTACGTAATATGTGAACGACCCCTAAGTGGAAATTTTCATTACTATTCACAGTTTTTTCCCTTTAATTTTTGCGATTTTTCGGACGTTCAAATTCGTGTTTTTGTGCGATTGACACGTCATGACGTCATGTGGAAAATTTTGCAGGAGCACTGACAACTGACTTATATATTTTAGATGAGTAAACTTAAATTAAATTAAGCAAGTATATTGTACAAATATGTATATTATTTTTAAAGTTACGAAAAGTAATTTTTAGAGATCAAAAGGAACTTTATTGTTCTCGGAATTTTCGAGAAAAGAAAAGGGCGGGGTACAATGTACATTAATCGAATCGTAGCACTTGACCAAACATGGTCAATCTTAGTTTATAACTTTATCAGACAGTTTGCTCGTTTCACAACGTTTATTAATTACGTACTTGCTGATCAATCGATGGGCCAGTGAATCTTGATGCTTTAGAATTCGTGGTAGATATTTTCTGAGGGTAATGTTTAGTTGTTCCAGTTTTTCAGAGAGAGCAGCCAAATGTTGTATCACTCAGGATGTTGATTGTTGAAGCGACAGCAAACTTAATTTTGGACTTTGGTCTATAGTGGTATTTGGACCTTGCAGCCAGAGTTTCTCAAATTTCTCAAAGGAAGCATCCCCAAGATTACAAAGTTGATGAATATTATTTTCACTACAAAACAGTGATTCTAATGACTTGGTATAGTGCTGCAGCCAGAACCAGTGTAAAAGAGGATTACCATTTCCGATATGTTTTTACCTTGCATCAAAAAATCCTTAAAATAAACCTGATGGTTCGTTTTTCACGCTAACATAGAGTTCTACAATCTACATTAGAGAGACGGTATCTTCATTTTAACAAATAAAATGCACAAATTTTGTTGGTATTAAAAGAGAATGGATCCCATTGAATTTCTTGTGTTATACTCGACTAGATTTTAAATTAAATAATAATTAATCAGGTCCAATCAAAACGGAGATTCCGATCAATTTATTAAAACTATTTACAACTTACAAAGTCGATCAGGTTATATTTATAAATATAACCGGATATTTATAAAATCAGAAAACTGATCAAATCTCGAATCAAATATGCTAATATAAATCAGGGTTACTCGATCGAGGGCCGTTGATTTCATCATAAACTTTTCGTATACTTCAGGTTAGGGTCAATTAAGTTACAAATAAGCATCGTACTTAAAATTAAGTGAAATTTAAACGACGATCACATCTTTTAAGTTGTTCAGTCATGAGTTATGGCACATTAATCATTAATCAATATAAATTTGAATTTCTAGAAAATCGAATTTTAGATTCATTGGAACTACATGCTCAAGCTTCTTTCAATCCAATCATTAAGCCCTGGATTCTGATTAAAATAGTCCCACAAATTCCGTGTCCCCTCCAACAAAACAACAACATATCGGAAATGATGATGTCACGTGATCACTAGTATCTACTTATCATCCCAGTAGAACACGTCTCATTCTGTCTGAAGGAGTGTGGTTCGCATTGTTCTGCTCCACGATAGGATGAGCCGAACAGATAAACTGAAATTAGGATGATTATTGATCGGTGTTTCAAATCTGGTGAATTAATTAAGTAGATAATCAAGAAAGTAGAAACCACCTCTGAAGTTGATGACCTCGGTAAAATGGTTTAAATTCCTTTAATTGCAATGATTCGTAGGTATTATTATCCAATATCCGTATACGTTTATATCACAATGCAGTTTTCTAAGAATTTAAAGGTTTCGTCGAAAGTCAACGAAGGGCTAGAACTCAGAAAGTCTAGCGTTTCCGCCTACAATTCGTGGAGGCGCAACGGTCTTGGGCCAACTGCTTATAGAATCGTCAGGTAGTTAACGGCAGGTATTAAGAAAAATGTTCCATTTCTTTTGGTGTCAGGAATTGTCAAGCAACTATGCATTATATACAGGGGAGCCAAAAGTCAGTGCACATACGTTGGCCTTAAAAGCTCAGTCAGTGAGTGCCTGATTGAGTCAATTTATTCTGGTATTTTTTTTGAACATTTGAACATTTAAAATATAATTTGAAACATAACAGTAACGTTATTCAAATCTCAAACAGAAACAGTATGGTATGACTTGCTATTACAACTCATTCGAGGAATATAACGAATCAAAGAAGCAAAGAATATTCATGTTCATTTTTTTCGAATGAAGGTTCATTTTCGCATTTATTTGATAGATTGAATATTCGGATCGAGCTAAATTGTATTGGATTGTGTTTGGCCATTCAAATTACACTTGCCGTGAAATTATTAATGAGAGTTCCAGCTTCTCAGATGACCGAGATCTGAAGCATAACGAGTTTATTCATTAGGTGTGATCAGGTGATTGGGTTGATACTACATCCGCATTATGGGCATCGTGCAGAGAGCCTAATACGGTGTCGTAGCAAGCTATCGCATCCTCGAATGAGCAGTGACCTGTGACAGTATACTATCTATCTAATCTGCAAAGTTACAAATCTGAAATATGAAACACAGCGGTGGTATAAGACACCCCCCCCCCCCCCCCCCCTGTAGATTCCATGACTCGTTTAAGTTGGGTTCACGGACCACCACTTGCACTTCCAATCCGACACGACGTGTATGACATGCGATGAAGATAAAATGGCGCGCGCGCTGGGAACGCATAACGCGCACAAACATGTCTGAAAATAATAAGTCGCGCGTTCCAAAACAGTAAATGTGGGTCTATATTTGGAAACAAGCATGCCTGCAGATAGTAGAACTTCCACAAGCAGCTCAACCATATGTCAGGTTACACGAGCATGAAAAAGGGGCATATTTATTCGTGTGATTGTGACCCCATCTTTTGTAACATATTATAACACATGGTGTTGCTGACTGTATTAAAATGATTGCAAAATCACATTAGTAGGAACTTAAAATACCTCATAATTGATAATTCCAAGTAAGCACCCATTTTTCCAGGAAAAATGATCTTCCCTTCTTCTTAGAAAACAGTTTTCAGTGTACGAGTTAAAGTTTCAAGAAAAAGCAAATTATTGTAACTTACATGATGCAATGGAACTCTGTACAATCCACAGAAATCAACAAACTCCACGTCCTGAACTCTAGTATCGAAGTACACGCAGTCACATTGAGGATTTACACAACGTTTGGCGGAGTTGAGGTAGTCCACAAGTGGCTGTGGTAGAGTTTCCGACGAATAGTAAATATCTGAAATGAGAACATTCGGGTTATTATAAGGAAGCGGGCAATGTCAATTGTAGATTTTGGTTCATTGTGAGACATGAATTTCAGTTACCTTATAATTTTTAATTAGATCTTCAAAAAGACAATACTGAAAATAATAACTCTCTTTGACTTTATGTCACAGTTGATTTAAAGTATATTAAATCTAAAGTAAATATTAAGAATTAAATAATGACTGTTGACAAACCATTATTTTTGATTACACGCCCTGCGACTTCCTGTAACGAAGGTGGTCCGACTGGTAGTTTTCTGACGAAGTCTTGTACTAATGGGTTTTGTCTGAAACACAACGGCACGCGTTAGGTGTCACGCGTTAGGTGTCACGCGTTAGATGTCACGCGTTAGATGTCACGCGTTAGATGTCACGCGTTAGGTGTCACGCGTTAGTTGTCACGCGTTAGATGTCACGCGTTAGATGCCACGTGTTAGATGCTAAATATCACATTAACACAGCAAGAACACAGCTAAGGCTACAATATATATGCTAGATAGCTAACCAATGGTAATTGTAAGGAGAATTTAATATGTATTATATCAAACTTGCTCTGGCTTAAAGATTTGCATCACTAAATCCATGTTACAATTTCATATATATTTAAACACAAATTTATCCAACACCGTTCAGTCCTATTTTCTAATATGACTTGTCGATTGTCGTGAAAATTAAATCAAATGACTGTTATAATACACGCGCAAATAGATACACGGGTCTTATCTAACTAACAATTTCGTTGAGTTTAGTTTAATGCAGCGTCATTTTCACCAGCTCACCCGAACATACCTGATGGTGAGAGATTCTAAATGTTTGAGAGTGAGGAAGCCTCGTGGAAGAGAACTGAGGTTATTGTTGTGCAGAGTCAGAGTCCGTAGACTGCGCAGGTGCCTGGAATATGATCTTAATGTTAGAATATCTGGGTACCAGATGTGGGGTAGAATACACTTTTCCTACATTTCCTACGTCTTTTCCTATTTTTTACGTCATCACAGACAAATATAAAGGATCAGCCAGACTATGTAACAATCATGTAACTGTAAAATCACACCACAAATTTAGCTATCAATGTGTTAATTTGATAATTGTGTTTTAATTGGATAACAATTAGACCTGAATAAATGTCGCAATGCGGTTACCATACCTGAAGTTGGTAGGAATGTTAACGAGGCGGTTGTTGTGAAGATACAGCGCTGAGAGGCGTGGAGGAACCCCAACTCTTCAGGCAGACAAACTATTCTGTTCCCTCCCAGGTACAAGTACTCCAAACTGAAACGCAATTGTATTAGGGGTCGTTCACATATTACGTAATAAATTTGTGGCCATTTTTAAACCCCCCCCCTCCCCCTTCGTAATCAGTTTTACACATAGCTATTGTGTCAAAAGTACACTAGCGTAATCATTTGGAAACCCCCCCCCCCCTGGCTGATAACGTAATATGTGAACGACCCCTTACCCTTATTAGTCAATTAATCAATTGGTCGATAACAATTGGTGGTTCATAGGCTGATGCCAGATTTCCATCCACTACTATTTCATTTCTAATATATTCCGTTATATTACATCTTTTTCCGATATTATGTATTAACTCAATCGCACTCTAAATACAGTCTCAGTAGAGTACAACTAAAATCAGGTACAATAACCAGAGAAACATTCCACAAAATAAAAGACCTCAAAACATCAGTCACAGCGTGCAGTGTATGCCACTGTTTACTAAATAGGGACTACCAGTAGAAATTGGATCATGAATTCTTCGCATGCCAACAGCATATTGTTCTGCACTGAATGCAACTGTTTTCGTTAGACAGCGCAATTCCAGAACACGATCTAACGATCTGCTCTGTCATTGGACTGTAACAGGTCACGTGGTGTTAAATTTAACAGGTGGTTAAACTTCGTTGTAGGTCGTAACAAGCAAATAAATAGCAATTCTAGGTGGCGAGGTGTTTGCTGATATTTAAAAGTATTTGTGCATGTGTTCAACGTTTGACTTTTTAGAATGACCGTAGTCTGCCTTTACTAATTGTCAAGAACGGACCTGATAACCAGACATGTTAAGTGATATCTGTTTCACATAAGGTGTCTGGTGTAGATGCGAATATTCGTTGTAAAGTAGTGTAGATGCGTATATTCGTTGTAAAGTAGTGTAGATGCGAATATTCGTTGTAAAGTAGTGTAGATGCGTAATATGCGTATATTCGTTGTAAAGGACCTTCGCAGCTTTGAACTAAACTTATTGAGCTGGATGTTGAGCCCGACCCCGGCGGTTTCGTTTGAGTTTCTCGTGTAATTTGTTTGTTCCTGTCATTTCAGTTTAACTTTAAACTTTACGGCCTTATTTATTCTAGGTCATAGACTAGAATCCCGACGGCATAACCATGTCATATGTCATAATTATTAATCATGTCATTATCATGTCATAACCATGTTATAATCATGTCATAACCATGTCATAACCATGTCATAATCATGTCATAATCATGTCGAATAATCATGTCATAATCATGTTATAACCATGTCATAACCATGGCTTACGGTCACTAACGGGCTACTAGCAATGCTCCCTCTTTATCACATTAGGAGTGACTACTAGGTGGCGGCTAGTGAACAACTTTTGAAATTCTGGCTAGTGACATGAATATTGGATATATGACGTCTGTCCGACATGGTTATGACGTCGGGATCCTAGTCTATAATGACCTTATTTTATTGCATAGAGATTATTGCGCAGTCCTTTATTCATCACATTCCAGGCAATGTTTTGGTCAATGATGGAGTTCTCCTAAACATATTATAGAGTAGAAAATAGAAATGGTTTATTAAATGAACGTAAACAACTTAACAATAAGTCCCTAGCTGTGCTGAGATCCGGAAGAACAAAAACTGTATCCCTTTTTGTAGTTGTTACTTCCTCGGTCACGGTGACGACGATCCTCAGCACTTAGGCGTAATATTCGAAAAACCGTGACTGATATTTGTGCATGAACAGTGAACACGATCTGTTAATGTCATTATGATAAACCTATGATACAGAAGATACGTCCAAAGTTTTAAAAAGTACGTGTACTGCAGTCACATCTCTGTGAAGTGACCATAGTAGACGAATCCGTCAGCTAGAAAACTTACTCATGGATACTCCTTTACAATAACAAGATGAAAATTCCAGAATCATCGAATTATTTCAACAATTCAGGAGAACTTATCCTGAATTGTTGAAATAATTCGATGATTCTGGAAGAAGCGAGGGATGAGAAAGGAAGTTGATTTAGCTAACCAGTATTTGCTTTCTTTTATACACTACAAATTTGGTTTACCGTCCTGTCTTTGTCTTTGGCTTAAACATGTATTTGTTGGAATTTATTTTAATCCTACTTATTGGCTGAACTCGAACTGCTTCATATAAGCCAATAGTTGTCACGTGATTGATACTACCGAAATTGCGTCCCACATATTACTGCGTTAATTTGCAGACTTTTTTGGTGATTTTGAGCGATATGGTTTTAAAGTATTGTACTGTAATCCAGTCGATCGCTTCACGTTTTTGTATTCGAAATTTAATCTTTAAACCACAAATTAAACTTACTTCCTTATTCAATATTACTATAAGTATATTAATCTAAGGTGTCTCCTGGTATTATTTCGCGAAAGTCGAATAATGGTGAGTATCTACAAAAAAAATTGTAAATTTTCTATATTTCTTGAAAACGACACCCATGTCGCTTCTACATGACCGAAATCAATCTACCATCAAATATTCGATCTAAATTCAAAACTATTTCTTCAAAAAATGTTTTAAATGATATGTTATCTGCAGGGTACTGTACGATTACTGCTGGTGGTAATTGCCATCCAGCTTGTAGGGGGCCAAGAAGGAGGGAAAGCATTAGATGGTTTGGATGAAGCTCAAAAACATATCATTAACGGTCAGGATGCCGATAAGAACGAGTATCCCTTTATGGTGAGTGTAAAGTCAAGTGAGGGAGAGTGTGACGTCACGTGAGGTAGAGTGTGACGTCACGTGAGGTTGAGTGTGACGTCACGTGAGGTTGAGTGTGACGTCACGTGAGGTTGAGTGTGACGTCACGCGAGGTTGAGTGTGACGTCATTTCAAGGATAGTGTAAAGTCACGCAAGGGAGAGTGTGACGTCACGCGAGTTTGAGTGTGACGTCACGCGAGTTTGAGTTTGACTTCACGCGAGGTTGAGTGTGACGTCACGTGAGGGAGAGTGTGACGTCATTTCAAGGATAGTGTAAAGTCACGTGAGTGTGACATCGGGGGGGGGGGGGGGGGGGGCAATGGCATAAAATAGAGACTTTTTATGTGGAGAAAATTGAAAAACGCTTAAGTAATCCTCCATTTTATGCCATGAATTTTTATCATCGAATTATGTGGCACATTACTTGGACACTCTAACATGATTATTTTCGCATACCAGCTCATACCAAGCTACTATAGGCTCATACCAGGCTACTAGAGAGTAGAGACTCATACCAGGCTACTAGAGAGTAGAGACTCATACCAGGCTACTAGAGAGTAGAGACTCATACCAGGCTACTAGAGAGTAGAGACTCATACCAGGCTACTAAAGAGTAGAGACTCATACCAGGCTACTATAAGAGGCCAAGGGCAAGATCAAATTGACAGTCTTGCAATTCAAATTCCACTTAATTTCACTCTGATCTACCTTACAAGACATTTTTATAACGTACGAAATGCGACGGTTTTCCCGAAATTTCGCCATATTTGCGGACCGCCAAAATTTCGGTCGTCGTAATAGAATCCGTCGCATTATTTTTAGCTTATTCCAATAATTGTGGCTTCATCGATTCATTTTGTTCTTGAAAAGTTAGCGATATGATGGTGGGACAAATAAACACAATATTCCATAATGAATTTAATGTCAAGTTATACGTTTTAAATTTACAATAAATTACATTTATGTGCTAACATAAACGTCTTATAATAGACTAAGTCAAGATAAACAATTAAATACCAAACTCAATAAGTGAAACTGAAAGATTCGAGCCGGACCCCTTAGAGGAAGATGAAGAAATCGATTTATAAGTTTCATTTTGTTTCAACATGATTTTACCGATTTTTAGAAAATTTTGAATTTCCTTTGTGTCAGAAAACAAAATGATGAAAAATACCCTTATTTTCTGTGACGTCCGAAATGTGACGGTTTTTGATCAATTTCGCCATATTTTCGGACCGCCAAAATTTCGGTCGTCGCACATTGGTCCGCCACAAAAATGTCTTGTAAGGTAGTGATAAAATTTAGAAATCGATCGGATATCCGGCTTAGGAAGTAGTTTAGAAGGCGCTTGGCCGGATATCAATCAGAAATTTCATTAATTTTCAGGAAATTTGTTCTGAAAAATATTTTCATAATAATCAAAGTCACATGAAAACTGGAGAAAAGTGGTTTCCAGGAAAACTTTTTAAATGTTTTACTAAGAAAACTTATAAATTTTCGGCCCGAGTTATTCTAGATATGTACCTCTATTAAAGCAGACTCCCCGCTTCCGAACTCGTATTGCATAGGTTAGGCCGGCCATTCAAGATTGCATCACAAAGGGGAAGCCTCGATTCCAATATCGTATATCGAGGAGTAGGTCTGGAATTCAGAAAACCAAACAATTATTTTCGGCTCATAATGATCAGGGCGACATGAACTGTGGAGAAAAGTAGTTTCCACGAAAACTTTCAAAATTCTCGCGCCGAACATTTCGTAATTTTAAAGGCAGACTCCGGTCCCCGCTCCAAACTCGGATTTGCATAGGGGAAGCTTGCCCTCCGAGATCGCATTACAAAGGGGAAGCCTCGACTCCAAGATCGTATATTATATCGAGGGTGAGGTGGGGACTTCGAAATCGAGATAGAAAACATGAAATCTCGGTTCAAATATTTTTACAGAATTTTTTCATCTTGGAAAGGCAAAACGTTTAGTACACCAAAATTATGATATATTTGAAAAACAAATTATTTTACAATTTTTACAAAATTTATACAAGGCCAGGGAGGACCCTTGTGTTCGAGCTGGAAAATTGTTGATGGGTGAATGACGATAAAAGGGCAAAAATTGTCTTTTGGTGTTCGAAAAGATAATTAGATTCTAGATGAATATTGTATTTAAATTATTTCATCCATTAAGGCCACAGGGGGGGGGTCCGAGGTCAATTTTGAGATTTTGAGATATGTTGTAGAGCTCGATCTAAATTTTCAAATGCTTTTGTCCTTACCGAAAACAAAGTTTCCTATTTGAAGATATCGCGCGTTGAATTTTGAGGTTTACCTGTAATTCTATTGTAAATGAAAACTTTAAATGCAATTGTGTTCAAAATCTATCTTCTTTTTTAGTTTATGACTTAGAACCTTGTAACTTGCCAACAATGTTCTTAAAGGTATTTTGAGTTTTTGTTATGTAACGATTTATGATATCTTGCTCCAAAGCTGAGATATGAGGTTAACCATGAGTGAGAATTACAAAATTTACAAAATTTAAAATGGTTAACCTCATAAAAAGAGTTAGGAGCAAAATTACAACAATCGTTACATAACAAACTTTTAAATTTATGTCAGGAACATAAGTTCCAAATTTGAGGTGAAATGGATAAAAGCTCTAGGAGAAGATAGGTTTTTGAGGTGGTAAATAAATTGTTCAGGAGAGTCAAAAGACCATGATTCTGAGAAAATATGTTAACCTCAATTTTCCAACAAATAAAGGACATATAATAGTTCTGTTCACATTGGATGGCCAATTGATACCCATTGATAAGTTTAACTTGTGACGAGAGCAACAAAATGTTAAGAACTGGTTATTTGTGAGGTTAACTGATTAAAAAGGCAATAGTTAACCTCAATTTTACGACAAACTAGGCGCTCTGGGGGGGCTAAGGGTGGTGTGCAAGCGTCAGATAGTACGTGGTCTGCCAACTGGCAAAAAACTTTTTTTCGACCTCGGACCCCCCCCCCTGTGGCCTTAAGGCCAACATTTTGTAAAAAATTAGGTTTTTTACATTTTTAAATGACATAAAATGGAGACTTTTTCTATGGAAAAAATATAAAAACCCTTAAGTAATTCTCCATTTTATGCCACTTTATTATTATATGCCAATTCTTCTCAGGTGCGAATAAAAGCGGACGGTATAGATCATCTTTGCGGTGGCTCTCTCATCTCTACAACTGTAGTACTCACAGCAGCACACTGCGTCACTATGGAGGACGGATCCGTAGTACCAGCACAAATGGGAGTCCTAGTGATGGGAGATCACACAAATAGTACTGAAGAAGCAGAGGAGAAAAGCTACAGAGCAGTGCGCATCATCGTACACGAGGAGTACCATCTTGATTTCACAGGAAGTAAGTGAGGTTCACTGAGTGAGGTTCACTGAGTGAGGTTCACTGAGTGAGGTTCACTGAGTGAGGTTCACTGAGTGAGGTTCACTGAGTGAGGTTCACTGAGTGAGGTTCACTGAGTGAGGTTCACTAAGTGAGGTTCGCTGAGTGAGGTTTGCTGAGTGAGGTTCGCTGAGTGAGGTTCGCTGAGTGAGGTTTGCCGAGTGAGGTTCACCAATTGAGGTTCACTAAGTTAGGTTCACTAAACTAACACGTGACGATTGTGAAATTTCCTGCATCAAATTGCAAATTTAACCAATCAATTTCAAGTTTAACATACTTTTTTCAGTCCCTATCCACGACCTGGCATTGATCGTACTGTCTACGGAGGTTGACATAAACGCTGGAATAATCGACATTATTCCGGTAGCGGAGAAACCCTATGTAGAAGGATCCGCTGTGACAGTCATAGGGTGGGGAGTTGACTCAGATGATGATGCAGATAGGGATGAATGGGGGTATCATCCCGCTGCTGAAACCCTTCAAGAGTTGGAATACGTGATAGGTAACCAGGCCGAATGTAAGCAATACTGGAAGGACTTGTATGAAGGATTTTATGCTATGTTCGAGAACCTTGAGGTGATGAACATGGATACGATAACAGGTTTGTTTTTCATATTCTTATATAATTATCTTTGCAGTTTGCTGTCACCTTCTGCGGTGTATTTCTTTTTTCAAGTGCATGAAAACGACAGGAACATTTTTGTCACCTCCCAAGTAAAAGGGTATATATCTCTAAAAAGTCCATTTTGAGATAATCAATAAAAATCGTTTGTTGCTTACAACTAAAGGACTGGGAAACAAGTTCCTGCTGTATAGGCAAGTGTCCCGGGTGAAGAATTAGACAAAGTATTTATTTTCAGTGACACCTCTTTGTGAGTCATAAAAATGGTAGTAGTAGATGAACATATTATACCCTTTTAACTAAATTTTTCAAGTTATTTTTATGGAGTATATCTCAACATATACCCTTTTATTCATTAATGATTGGTTGATTTATCGAACAATTAATGATAATTAAATTTAAAAGGGTATATATAATGTATGCTTTTCACTATAAATGCTTGATTTTTCATAATTGTGTGCTAGGAGATGACTCCCATCTTTTGGGAATAGTTGGCCATTGGTACTAGGACTCCAAAAAAGGGTACAATTAGAAAGGGTATATCTTGACTTAAAAGCTTAAATACCTTTTACTTGGGAGGTGACGATTTCGTGAAATCAGATTTAGATGATATTAAAATGTCTGTAAACCATAACATCTCCTCAGAAACGATGGTCTGTGCGATAGATGATGAAGGTTTAGCAACTGTATGGAGTGGTGATTCAGGAGGCCCCCTATTTCAGGAAGTTGATGGAACAATCACACAAATCGGCGTGGTAAGCTGGGGTCATGATGATATAAAAGAAATAACCCACAACATGTACGTGAATCTCTACCACTATGCTGACTGGATTAAAGAGGCGATGAAACGTGCAGAGGAAAAGTCCTGGGTAGAACTACACACGGGTGGAAGCCATGGTGTGGTAATGATGATAAACTTGTCCCAGGATGGTGATAAAGAATTCACAACCGTTTGTAACGATAACGTTGGTGCAAACGAGGTCAATGCCATTTGCAGAGGACAGGGCTACCAATTCGGAGCTCTCGCAAACATCAGAGACTACGTCTCTGGTGGTAAGAGGCAACGAAGTGAGATGGGAGGATTCCCACCATTCGGGCACATAAATATGAAGTGTAATGATGAAGCCGAAGATGTAATGACGGATTGTGCAATGGATAAGTACGAAGACTCTGAAGTACCCTGCTTTAACGGACAACAACTGGCTGTCAAGTGTGCTGACGAAAAATGGGACTTTAATATTGTTGCCGTGTTGCCCGTTATGAGGAGTATCAGAGGGTCAAGCTATGTTAGGGGAAGAGTCAGTTGTATGGTGAATGCTCAGAAAGATGGAGTGGATCTGGACATGAAATCTCAAGTTAAGGTCGGACTCGTCATGAGAAACGAAGATGCTGTTGAGCCCATTGGTTCTCCTATGAAGTACAGGAGGAGTTCAAACATTTATGTTGGTAAATTCAGAACCGATAACGAAATCAAGACAGACGACTGTTTGGCTTGCATCGCCTACATTCCAGGGCACAATATCTACACTGTAGGAACGGTCGGCCCTGATGATTGTCCTGATGACGACGAACATTATAAGACGTGGGTGAAACTTCAAAATGAGGGAGAAGGGGAACAATAGCGGAGATGGATCATATAAAAGCAGAAGAAAAGGGAGGCTATGATACATGAATGAATTCTATAGTTAGAGACTTTATAGTTAGATTGGAATTAAGGACTGACCAACACATAAATCATACTTAAATGGTAATATGATACAGCAGAGCTAGAGAGTACAATGATAGTTTTATTTTATAAATTATTAGGTATTAAACAATAAACATATTTCTCGTGGACAGATAGAAATAAAATGCACAAATTTACTATTTAGAGTAAATTATAGCATGTACAGTAGCTAGGCTATTATAACATTAACTACGTACATGTATACTTATAATAACTCATTTTTCAGTAAACCTAGTATTACATTATAATTATAATAGGGAACATAATATATTTATGTTTCATCGCATTTAATATCAGATAGTTGCTTGTTCTATTTCAGTTTTCAAACCTATTTGAAATATACATACATGTATAACACAGCTACAATAGATCAGAAATCCCAATATTATCTGCAATTTTTCATTTTATACAGTGACCTATGAATAGATATTGTTTTATAAATATTCCTCGGTAAATTTAATTTTTTTAAAATGCCTTTTTATTTTGTTTTCCAAACAGCACCCTCAACCAAAGTTCTCATAAGAGTTAAGACAAAATCACTGTCTGATAGCACAGGATGTTGCTAAGTAACTAAACTGACCCTCTACAATGATCCAACAATGAAATCATAAAATATATATTATGATATTTTTATATATTAGGCGTAATATTCGAAAAAAAGGGCCTGATATTTGTGCATGAACACGATCTGTTAATGTAATTTTCATAAACGTACGATACAGATTACAGATGATACGTTTAAAGTTTTTTAAACATGAAAACATAGCCGCATAATATGATAAAATGAAATTATTTTGTAGTAAACACGTTAACCTTGCCAAAAACAATTTGAAAAATATCAGGACTGTTCCAAAAAACAATGGGAGATAATCAACGGCCTGCTAAATAGAAAAAGACGGGAGCTGATCAGATCAGATTGAGGGATACTGACGGGACGGCTGTCGCTGAAAAGTTCAATGGGTACTTTTCCAGCATCGCAGCCAAAATCAAGTCTCAGATCAGTTACCGAGCCGTCAAAACAACAATGTTACGATATATAGGCGTTATGTTAAAAATAAACACAAATTACCGATCAAAACACGCGCACGCTTACTTAAATGTCACTAGTTTGGGGCTTTGCTGCAAAATCCCACATTGATTCACTGTTCACTAAACAAAAGCAGGGAATACGAACAGTTATGTCGGGCTACTACGTGAATTACTATTACAAGGATGGTAAGCTTCCGGATCACGCTAAAGTTGCGTTTAAAGAGTACGAAATATTATCTGTACACGGGGACATCATAAAAAATGATCTGACTTAGATGCATAAGATAACTTACATGCCTGGCCTTCTGCCGACGTCGATAAAAGGCTTATTCCATTCTGATATACCGAAGTATGGCACCTGATATGATGACATTATCAACTGGCTAACAACATACTCTCAACCAGATCTACGCGCTAGTGTTTTCTATAAAGGTCCTATATTAGCTATTACCAAGCACAACATTAGTCGCATAACTTGCCCATCTAGTATTTTCTCAATTAGCATTTACAAGAAATCAGCAAAGCGTGTAATGATAGAACTACAAAGCTCATGAAACAATGAAGAATGGCCATCTTTTCTTTTACATAATTTACCCGGGCTACGAAAATCAGCAAGATCAGGCACACAGCAAATCAACTACCGAGAATAACCTAAGGAATAAGTAAAACTAGACGATTAGCACACTAGTCACTATCAACCATATGTCACACTTTTCACTGCCCATTCACTGTCATATATTGATAGCGCTAGCAGGTGCTGATAAGACATGGGCTCATTTACTTGTATTTATTAAGCAGTTAAATCTATGTGAAGTGTGAATTGACCATAGTAGACGAATTCCTCAGCTAGAAAACTTAAGTCATGGATATTCATTTACAATGACAAGATTAAAATTCCAGAATAATCGAATTATTTCAACAATTTATGAGCAGTGACCTTTCTTTTATACACTACGAATTTTGTTTACCGTCCTGTCTTTGGCTTTGGCTTCAAGTTTAATATTCATTAGTTGGAATTTATTTTAATCCTACTTATTGGCTGAACTCGAACTGCTTCATATAAGCCAATAGTTGTCACGTGATTGATACTGCAGAAATTGCGTCCCACATATATTACTGTGCTGACGTACGCGTTAATTTGCAGACTTTTTTTGGTGATTTTCAGCGATATGGTTTTAAAGTATTGTACTGTAATCCAGTCGATCGCTTCACGTTTTTGTATTCGAAATTTAATCTTTAACCCAAAAATTAAACTTTCTTCCTTATTCAATATTACTATTTAAAGTATATTAATCTAAGGTGTCTCCTGGTATTATTTCGCGAAAGTCGAATAATGGTGAGTATCTACCAACAATTTTTTGATTTTTTATATTTCTTGAAAACGACACCCATGTCGCTTCTACATGACTGAAATCAATCTACCATTAAATATTCGATTTAAATTCAAAACTATTTCTTCAAAAATATTTTAAATGATATGTTATCTGCAGAGTACTGTACGATTACTGCTGGTGGTATTTGCCATCCAGCTTGTAGCTGGATGGCGCCAAGAAGGAGGGCCAGGGAAAGCATTGGATGGTTTGGATAAGGCTCAAAAACATATCATTAACGGTCAGGATGCCGATAAGAACGAGTATCCGGGTATGGTGAGTGTAAAGTCAAGTGAGGGAGAGTGTGACGTCACGTGAGGTAGAGTGTGACGTCATGTGAGGGAGAATTTGAAAGCAATGATGAAGTGTGCAGGGAATCTTATATCACAAGGTTTTAATGCTGAACTGACTTGACAATTCTTCTCAGGTGCGAATAAAAGCGGACGGTATAGATCATCTTTGTGGTGGCTCTCTTGTCTCTACAACTGTAGTACTCACAGCAGCACACTGCGTCACTATGGAGGACGGATCTGTAGCTCCAGCACAAATGGGAGTCCTAGTGATGGGTGATCACACGGGCAGTATCGGAGAAGCAGAGGAGAAAAGTTACAGACCGGTGCGCGTCATCGTGGGGGGGGGGGGGTCCAACCCGATCAATTCCGATCATTCCGATCCCGATTTTGGCCTCATCAACCCTCATATCGGAAAAATCGGGAAAATTTAAATCTTCCCTCTGAGGTTTCTAGGCGATATAGGTAGCTATATCTGTACTTAAATATGACAAGAAATCGATTGGTGGTGGTCCCAGAACCCCAAAACGGTATCTTGTTCCAAACAAGAATCGTTTCGTCCGAAAAACAACACAATGTCGTACCAACTCTTGTTTGACAGAAACATCCACCCCGGTCCACAATTGAAAGAGGTACGGTTGGTAATAACAATCGTAACAAATAGCGAACGCTTTAGTAACTTTTGATTTAAATTGTCTCCACAATTTGTAACAGGCTATCTGCAGAAATGGGTAGCACGGTTAATGACTATGGTCCTTTCTCAAACTTCCAATCCTCAGTTAGATACAAAGAATAGTCTACACAATTTTCAATAACATTAAAAGGGATGAAAATCACTTTATTTATCAAAATCTTTATTTATCATGTAACAACTTTTCCATAGTACTGGAGAGTAAAACTCTGTTAAACAAAAAAATTCTCGGGCACATTTTGAGTCAGTAACAGTAACATGTCAATATGTTACAGACTCAAATGCGTTTAAAAACATTTTAGTAACAATAAATTGTGTAAACTGATGAGGAGGAGGAGGAGGACTGAGGAGAAGGAGGACTGAGGAGGACAGAGGAGGAAGACTGAGGAGGACCAGGACGAGCACTAGGAGGATGAGGACGAGGACTAGGAGGATGAGGACGAGGACGATGAGGACGAGAACTAAGGACGAGGAGGAGGACGACTGAGGAGGAGGACTGATTAGGAGGAGGACTGATTAGGAGGAGAAGGAAGAGAAGAAGGAGGAGGAGGATGAGGAAGAGAAATGAGGAGGAGGAGGAAAAGGAGGAAGACTGAGGAGAAAGAGGAGGACCGAGGAGGACTGAGGAGGAGGAGGACTGAAGAGGAGAGGGAGGACTGAGGAAGAGGAGCAGGATTGGTGTGGAGGAAGACGAGAAGGAGGAGGACGAGAGCGAGGACGAGGAGGAAGACTGAGGAGGAGGACTGTTAAAAAGGAGAAGGACGAGGACTGAGGATCAGGAGGAGGACTGAGGATGAGGAGAAGGAGGACTGGGGGAGGACTAAGGACGAGGAGGACTGAGGAGAAGGACTGAGGATGAGGAGGAGGAGAAGGAGGACTAGGGAGGACTGAGGAAGAGGAGGACTTAGGGAGGACTGAGGAGGAGGAGGACTGAGGAGGATGATGAGGAGGAGGACTGAGGATGAGGAGGAGGAGAAGGAGGACTGGGGGAGGACTGATGAGGAGGAGGACTGGGGGAGGACTGAGGAGCAGGAGGATGACTTAGGAGTAGGAGGAGAAGGAGGAGAAGGAGGAGAAGGAGGAAAAGGATGAGAGGGAGGAGGAGGACTTAGGAGTAGGAGGAGAAGAAGGAGAAGGAGGACTGGCGAGGAGGAGGACTGACGAGGAGGAGAAGGACTGCGGAGGAGGAGGAGGACTGAGGAGAAGGAGGAGGAGGAGGACTGACGAGTAGGAGGAAGAGGAGGACTGAGGAGGAACAAGATGACGACTGAAGAGGATGAGGAGGATGAGAAGGAGGACTGGGGGAGGACTGAGGAAGAGGAGGACTTGGGGAGGAGGATGAGGACGATGAGACTGATGAGGACTGAGGAGGAAGACTGAGGAGGATGAGGACGAGGACTAAGGACGAGGACTAGGAGGATGAGGACAAGGGCTAATGAAGAGGAGGAGGACGACTGAGGAGGAGGACTGATTAGGAGGAGAAGGAAGAGCAGAAGGAGGAGGAGGATGAGGAGGAGGACTGAGGAGGAGGAGGATGAGGAGGATGAGGACTGAGGAGGACTGAGGAGGAATACTGAAGAGGACGAGGACTAAGGACGAGGAGGAGGCGGAGGACGAATGAGGAGGAGGAATGATTAGGAGGAGAAGAAAGAGGAGAAGGAGGAGGAGGAGTAGGAGGAGGAGGAGAAGGAGGAGGATTAGGACTGGGGGAGGACTGAGGAGGAGGATAAGGAGGAGGAGGACTAAGGACGAGGATGAGGACGAGGACGATTATGAGGAGGACAGAGGATGAGGACTGATGAGGAGGAGAAGGAGGAGGAGGATGAGGAGGAGAAGGAGGAGGAGGACTGGGGGAGGACTCAGGAGGAAGAGGATGATGACTGAGGAGGAGGATGAGGACTCAGGAGGAGGACTCAGGAGGTGGACTCAGGAGGTGGAGGAGGATGAGAAGGACTCAGGAGGAGGAGGACGACTATGAGGAGGACTAAGGAGAACTGATGGGGAGGAGAAGGAGGATCAGGAGGAGAAATGAGGATGAGGAGGAGGAGAAGGAGAAGGAGAAGGAGGAGGACTGGGAGTAGGACTGAGGAGGAGAAGGGGATTGAGGAGGAGGGTGAGGAGGACTGAGGAGAAGGACGAGGAGTCAGGAAGAGGACTGAAGAGGACTGAGGAGGAGAAGGACTCAGGAGGAGGAAGACTTAGGAGGAGGAGGAGGAGGACATCTAAATGTTTTGTCTGTTTTTGTCCGCCCTACTTTTTGTCCGTTTTGAAAATACAGGGTACCGAACGGACACAAAACATGATCCCCCAGCCAAGCATGTGTTACGATACAAATGTACTTGACTATACATTTAAGGTGCAGTGTACTAGTGATATTATGGTATGTTTAAAGACCGGACCACAAAATATAACCCTAGTGTTGTACTAATACATAATAACAAGTAACAGGGATAAAATTAATGAGCAGAAACAATCGATCTCACGTCAAGAGGCCAAAGCACTCGGGTCTGGGAGTACATGACAACTCCAACTAGTAGTGAGCATACTAGCCCCTGCAGTGGAAAAACACATAAAACATACTATTGGAATGTCCAATTAGTTCGTTTTCTCATAACAATATAGCATATGTAGGGGTTTTTTATCACTTCCTCACTTCTGAGAGGTTTTAGAGATCGATTCTCTAAAATTTCTCAATTTTCCGATTTTTCCGATTCCGATTTTGGCCTCATCAACCCTCATATCGGACATCGGGTTGGACCCCCCCCCATCGTACACGAGGAGTACCGTATTGATTTGACAGGAAGTAAGTGAGTGAGGTTCACTGAGCGAGGTTCACCGAGTGAGGTTCGCCGAGTGAGGTTCACCAAGTGAGGTTCACTAAGTGAGGTTCACTAAGTGAAGTTGACTAAGCGAGGTTCACTAGGTGAAGTTCACTAAGTGAGGTTCACTAAGTGAGGTTCACTGAGTGAGGTTCACTAAACTAACACGTGACGATTGTGAAATTTCCTGCATCAAATTGCAAAGTTAACCAATCAATTTAAAGTTTAACACACTTTTTTCAGTCCCGATCCACGACCTGGCATTGATCGTACTGTCTACGGAGGTTGACATAAACGCTGGAATAATCGACATTATCCCGGTTGCGGAGAAAGCATACGTAGAAGGATCCACTGTGACAGTCATAGGGTGGGGAGTTGACTCAGATGATGATGCAGATAGGGATGAATTCGGGTATCATCCCGCTGCTGAAACCCTTCAAGAGTTGGAATACGTGATAGGTAACCAGGCCGAATGTAAGCAATACTGGAAAGGTGGGTATGATGAGTTTGATGCTGTGGTCCAAAATTATGAGAAGATAGACATTGATACGCTAGCAGGTTTGTTTTTCATATTCCTATACTATCTTTGCAGTTTGCTGTCACCTTCTGCGGTGTATTTCTTTTTTCAAGTGCATGAAAACGACCTGGACATTTCGTGAAATCAGATTTAGATGATATTAAAATGTCTGTTCACTATAACATCTCCCCAGATGCGTTTGTCTGTGCGATAGATGATGAAGGTTTAGCAACTGTATGGAGTGGTGATTCAGGAGGCCCCCTATTTCAGGAAGTTGATGGAACAATCACACAAATCGGCGTGGTAAGCTGGGGTACTGGTGAAATAACAGAAAGAACCTACAACATGTACGTGAATCTCTACCACTATGCTGACTGGATTAAGGAGGCGATGAAACGTGCAGAGGAAAAGTCCTGGGTAGAACTACACACGGGTGGAAGCCATGGTGTGGTGATGATGATAAACTTGTCCCAGGATGGTGATAAAGAATTCACAACCGTTTGTAACGATAACGTTGGTGCAAACGAGGTCAATGCCATTTGCAGAGGACAGGGCTACCAATTCGGAGCTCTCGCAAACATCAGAGACTACGTCTCTGGTGGTAAAAGGCAACGAAGTGAGATGGGAGATCTCCCACCATTCGGGCACATAAATATGAAGTGTAACGATGAAGCCAAAGATGTAATGACGGATTGTGCAATGGATAAGTACGAAGACTCTGAAGTACCCTGCTTTAACGGACAACAACTGGCCGTCAAGTGTGCTGACGAAAAATGGGACTTTAAGATTGTTGCCGTGCTGCCTGTTATGAAGAGTATCAAAAGGTCAAGCTTTGTCAGGGGAAGAGTCAGTTGTATGGTGCATGCTCAGAAAGATGGAGTGGATCTGGACATGAAATCTCAAGTAAAGGTTGGACTCGTCAAGAGAAACGAAGATGCTGTTGAGTCCATTGGTTCTCCTATGAAATACAGGAGGAGTTCAAACATTTATGTTGGTAAATTCAGAACCGATAACGAAATCAAGACAGACGACTGTTTGGCTTGCATCGCCTACATTGCAGGGCACAACATCTACACTGTAGGAACACTCGGCCCTGAGGATTGTCCTGATGACGACGGACATTATGAGGCGTGGGTGAAACTTCAAAATGAGGGGGGAGAGTAAACTGAAAAAGGTGGTATACATTTATACTTATAATAACTCATTTTTCAGTAAACGTAGTATTACATTATATTATATAGGGAACATTTAAATATGATATTTATGTTTCATCACATTTAATATCAGATAGTTGCTTGTTCTATTTCAGTTTTCAAACCGATTTGAAATACACGTACATGTATAACACAGCTACAATAGATCAGAAATCTCAATATTATCTGGAATTTTTCATTATATAAATTCAAAGAATGATGTTGTTGACTGTTGTATACAGTGACCTATGAATAGATATTGTTTTATAATTATTCCTCGGTAAATTTACTTTTTTTTAAATGCCTTTTAATTTTGTTTTCCAAACAGCACCCTCAACCAAAGTTCTCATAAGAGCTCAGACTAAATCACTGTCTAACTGTCTAATAGCTTTAGGATGTTGCTAAATAACTAAATTTACCATCCAGTATAGCACCAAACATTGTCATTTAAGACAGTGATTTAAGACAGTGATTTAAATCATAAAATCATGTAAAATAACTTTGTGGATGTTACAACTTACAAAAGCGACTAAACAAGCAACGTCGTACAGATGGACGGAGACATATTCGCTCGTTACCCTAGCTCCAGGTATATCTCGATAATAGATTTTTGAGCATTTGGAATGGTTTCTGGAAAGGCAAGAATATTGTCAATTACCCAGTTTGTTAATTTCTTTTACCACCCTCTTATCTGAGTCGCCTATTTTGATTCTGTGTCTCGAAACAAGACGTCCTGTTAATGATCTAGAAAAATAGTGGATAATCACCGTATCCTAGTAGTCTGCACACTTGACTTGAACTTTCAGACAAATATAATATCTTATCTAAATGAGTTATATAGTTAATATCGAAATGTTCCCACAAGTGAAAAATGTTTTGTCACAAATGTGGACTTTTTATTGCTTCAGGTTAGGAATTATATCAGCAGATATTTGTAATTTGTATCCTAATCACATGATACTGGTGGCTTTTTTCATATTTGCAGTAATAAGTTCTAACGTTAAGAAACACAACATGCAATTAAAATTTCAGATCATGGGTTAATGCTCAAAATCTAATTTTGAAATATAATAATTAACAATTTTAAATAAAGCTGACTAATAAAACAAGAATGACAAACCTCATTAGGTTGGATATGATTTTAGGAATAGCCACGATACGATTAGAGCCCAGATTAAGGTGAACTAGTCGTGTGAGCATGGTGAACTGTATAGGTATCTCTAGAAGCTGATTACCTGTAACATTCCCCCCGTCAGAATATGGTAATGTATCATGATTTAATAAAATTGTACATTATAGAAGCAATAAATGGTTATTTGCCATGTCATTTTCAATTGCAGATGAAGAAATAAAAGATTTTGATTCCTGTAGCACAAGATATTATGTAGGCATTAAATATAAAGGGATGTTAGTTTTGCTTCAAGATACTAAAGCAAATAATAAAATGTGTCAAGATAAATAAAAATTATGTTACCTGCAAGATTAAGTTTTTCAATTGACTGTGACATCCCAAAATCAAGAGCAACACTTTTGATAAGATTTTTTTTAATGATAAGAGTCTTTAAAAACCTCAAACACTTCATTTCTGACGACAAAAAAGCAATCTGATTATCTGAAATGTCCAGGCGTTCAAGTCGTTTTAACTTGGAGAAGACAGCAGACATTTCCTTGAGCTCATTTTTAGACAGATCCAGAGATCGCACTGACGTTAAGATGTCGGTGAAAGTGAGGTGGGTCAACTGGCGACCTACAAGGACAATGTCCATGCCTATACTCTATAGATAGATTTCAGTGAGTTGATGGTCAATAGTAAAACAAAATTTTTTAAGTAAAACAAACTTTAAATTTTATTGCCATATTAGTATTACAATGAATAATGATATCATAATAAACATACAGGGTGGGCCAAAAGTCAGTGTGCAAACGTTGGGTCTTATACCTCCGCTGAGTTTTATATTTGAGAGCTGTTGCTTTGCAGATGGCATACTGTACTTACTGGTTCGAGGATTCCGTCGTCAAAATTTGAAAATTCGAATATTTTAGACCACGCCCATTCAATATTAAAACACCTATATTGTTTTCTCTGAAAATCCTGAACGACTAATTTTTTTAGAGACGGTAGATTATCAAATGTTGCACATGATCTGAAAAAATGAGGCAAAACGGATTAGAAATGACGAAGTTAACAAGCATTTTGTGTATCTCGTTAACAAATTGACTGGGTGATTATGTGACACAGTGACACGACACCTTAATTGGGCACCCTTAATAATTCCCATAATGTTTAACCTTATCACGTGATTAGGTAAACCAATCACCTGATCACACGTAATGAACAAGCTTGTTATGCTTCATATCTCGGTCATCTGAGAAGCTAGAACTCTCATTCTTTCAGGGCAAACGTAATTCGAATGGCCAAACACAATTCAATAACATTTAGCTTGATCCGATTATCCAAACTATCAAAAAAATGTGAAAATGAACCTCCATTTGAAAAAAATGAACGCGAATATTTTTCGAGTTGACAAATTCCTCGAACCAGTGGTGGTACTAAGTCATACCAGAAGGAAGTATTTCAATTGGGCACTCAGTGACTGAGCTATTAAGGCCAACGTTTGCACACTGACTTTTGGCCCACCCTGTAGTTAAACTTGAACATCCGATAATAAACCCATGAAAATTAGATATAATACTCGAAAATTCATCTCAATCATAAATTTCTATTAGCGCGGTGCTAGTCACTTATTATAATAACGGCGCTGAGCCTAAACTATGAATTCTAAAATAAAATAAAATTCCAAAGCAGAAGTAAAAGTTACTCTAAAAATATTTCATTTAGTGTATTTTAAATGTTTAAATTTTATAAATCGATAGTCTATATTTAAATGCCTTTTATTTCAAAATTCAAATTAACTTTACATCAATGTATTACAGTTATATTTAGAAAAGACCACAATATCTCCTGTGAGGCAAAAACATGGAAAAAGAGAGCTAGAAAAATATTCATGAGACTCAACACTACCAGACTGCAGCTGGAGTGAGAAACATTATGTAAATGTAATTGAATAAAAATCATCAATCCAGTAGATTTTTGTACCTATTTTAGAAGAGATTTTTATAGAATGTTAGAAGTGCAGTAGGGTCAGTTTCAGACGAATTAAGCATAAATGACATCATTGCCATGTCTGAAGTGGTTTGTAAATGGGCCATTGTTAGCCCCAAGCGTTTTGGTCCCTCATTCCTGCCACTCAGCATTGCCTACTGTAAAGTAGAAATTTTTCTAAGATAATAGAGAAACTGACCTTGTCTCACTAAATTCAACCACTTACCATAATAAAAATACTAACAACCAAATAAAGTTTTTTAAATAATTATATACAATCACCAAAAATATTTCCTCAAGTTTACTTCTAACTAATTTGTGGTTTAAGCTCTTATTTTATTTATGATTAAAGGAATGTAAAATAAAACTTTTCGTTTCATTGAAAACTTTTCGTTTCATTGAGAAATTGCTGATAATGAGTACAAGAACTCACTCATGGCTAACCAGCAGCTTACAGACCACATCCTGAAGCAACACACCACTCTCAATACCAACAGAGAGGCTGGGAAAGCAGTCAAGTCTGCCATTAGCCTGTCTAATGCCAAGAGGTATTATATGAGTCACTCAAAAACCAGCTGATGAACGATCTTCCACCTTCGATCAGTGAGAAGATCCCACATGCATGAGAAAAAGGTGCATCAAGCTGGCTGACCGGACTTCCCTATGAGAAGTACGGCTTTGTCTTGAACAAGCGAGGGTTCAAAGACGCTATAGCACTGAGATATGCTCTACCCATTGCCAACATAGCCAAGAAATGCATTTGTGGTAAAGATAACACCTACAACCACATTCTTATTTGCAAGAAAGGAGGCTTTGTCAACAGCAGACACAACCGACTGAGAGACACTGTTGCAAGCATTCTTGAAAAAATCTGTAATGAGGTTGTTGTAGAGCCCACACTCCAGCCATGCACTGGAGAAAGCCTTTGCCCTGATACCATCCTGGATGATGGGGCAAGGCTCGACATAGCAGCTAGAGGTCTGTGGTCACCAATGGAGATGGCATTTTTTGATATCAGGGTTTCACACCCCGGAGCCAAATCCAACGCTAATCACAACACCCCAGCAAAGATGTACAACAAGCATAAGAGAGAGAGAAAGGAAATATGGAGACCGCTGTGTACAGATCGAAAAAGGAACCTGCAATGGCCTTGTATTCTCGACCACCTGAGGTATGGGCCCACAGGCTACCATGTTCCTTAAACGAGTAGCAACACTTCTGGCAGCCAAGACCAGCCAGGAAAAAAGCCTCATTATGGTAAATCTAAGACGTCGTTTGCGGTTTGAGCTACTTAAGACAGTATTGATTGCAGTTAGAGGACACAGAGGACGGTATTATGAGAAAGCAATACCTGTTGACGAACTGGACCTAAATCTTGCACACACCACCAACGATGAAGACAGGGGTGATGATGTTGATGATGAAGATGATGAAGTTGATGATGAGGTTGAGAATGTAGAGGAAGAGGTTTCAGAAGAGTGAGCTGAAAAAGAAGACAAGATTCTATTCTAATTTATTGATTATTATATTTATTGCAATAAACATATAATATCCATTACTCCAGGAGTGATGACAGGATATATAAAAAAAATTTAAGAGAATATATAAAATTATTCAAACAATATACACATAATATAGCGATGACCCTATATAAAATCTACCCTATAAGAATTAAAAAAGTTTCCTAAAAAATCAAAAATTACCCTTGGCCTTGTGGCTCCAAGTTAAGATCTAGACTGTTTAGATCAACAATGTTTTTTCTCGCACCTCTGTCTCCACGGAGAGAAATCACTGATGTAAAAAAATGTAAATGTAATTCAGTAATGGATATTCTCTAACTGTAAGGTCAGACGACAGACACCTCTCAAAAATATGATTAAATTAAACTTACTTTCGGAGAAAAAAAAGGGAGACCCCAACCCATGTAGCTGAGACACCTCACAGCATGGCAAGTAGACCAAAGTGGCTCCTGCTTGTGAAAGTGTATCAACTATCTCCCAGGGATCATTCCGGAGGAAAATGAGGAAAACTGATATTCACTGAAGCACAGACAAAAAAGGGGCTTAGTTAAGTAAGCACTTCAATGTCTACAATTTTTTTTGCACATGTTCCTTCGTAAGGTCATTCTGGCTAGCATCATTTACGTACCCAACTTCAATCAGTTATTTAAGATAATATGGTTATGTGGC